AAACTTGGAGTTCTTACTTTTGATTAAGGCTAGCCATGGTCTAAAGGGACTGAGATTTGTGTGGGTGTCTGCTCTCTCGGGCAGCAAGGGCAAGATAACTTTGGAAGCTGGGACCTTTCCCAGCCCCAATTAACTTTGTATAATGATTGAATAAAAGAAACTGGAGTGAGCTAGTCAGGGTCAGTCTTTTTTTTTTCCCAAGAACTCTGAACCGTTCTGCTCCTTGAGAAAATATTGGCATCTTGGTGAGCTTCTCTCTCTACTGCGGCACCTACAACCAACATCAACCAATAGTTACCTGTTTGATGCTTTATCGGTTTTTCTCCCATCAAGTTTCTCAAACCGCTTCTCATGAACCAGTGAATAGTAAAGAGAACTAAATTTGAATTCTGTACAAAAGCATCTCTAGAACGTGTGCCACAATATACAATTTCTATTTGTTGGTCCTTAAAATCTCTCTCTGATTTTCACAAATTTTTGTCTCACAAGGTTTATATACACTGCCTGTAGCATACAATAAAACAGCATACACATTTTTGGCCTTGTTATTGGTATGAAATATGTTATATGTTAACCTTTACAACATCAGCTTTTAAGACTCAATGCCTTATATCGTCAAGACTTCTAGAAACTTACAGAACAACTGTAAATCTTTGTTGAAAGATTGAGAAACTTCCAGTTTCTTTCCTTCACTTAGTTACAGGAATTTCTTTAAATATTCCAACTAAGTGTGGGAAGATGATTCAGTGGGTAAAAGCACTTGCTATGCACTTATGATCTGAGTTCAGATCCCTGCCACCTATGTAAAAAGCTGGGCATAGCTGTGCACACTTTTAACCCTCGAACTTGGGGGAGACAATTTTATGGCCACCAGCATGGGTTTAAAAGGTGAGCTCCAGCTTTAATGGAAGACCCTGTTTGGTAAATAAGGCAGTCAGGTATGGTGGTGCATGCCTTTAATCCCAGCATGTGGGAGGCAGAGGCAGGCAGAGCTCTGTTAGTTTAAAGCCAGCCTGGTCTACAAAGTGAGTCCAGAATAACCAAGTTAACTCCAGTGACCTGTAACTTTGTTTCAAGTCCCAATAACCTGGCTTCCAAGACTAGTTTATGAAATCAAGGTTATACACTATCTACCAGCAATACTTTTTCTAGCCTACAAGTTCTTTGGGAGTGCAAATTAGAAAGTTAGTTTGAATCTTCATTCCAATGAATTTATCCACAAGTAATCCAAAATGGCAGCAAATTTTAGGACTTTTAGACCCCTTACTCAAGTTACAGTTATATTTACTACATAGAGTGGGAATTCATAGCATTTGATCATTTGTTCAAATATAAGATTTACAAAATCAATAAATTCCATTTTGAGAAGGGTGTTTTGTTAAATTACCAAGTTTTTCAAAACAGGCCTGTCCAGCAAAATTCAATACTTCTCCCCTACTTTATAAACAAAATTTTCTTTGACATGTGTTCATTTCCCATTCACACTCTCCATTTTTAGAATCAAAGGTTCCCTTCTGAAGAGATCATAATTTTAAGGTAAAATGTGGTCCCAGTTCCTGAGTTCCCACTTTCTTTTCACTCCTGACTATGTATAATCTGTGAAACCTGAAGATGATTGTGCAACCTGCCTTCTAATACAGTGAGGGTTATGAGGAAAGAGAGACGCAGACATACATCTCACAGAATGACCTAGCCGTGCTGTAAATTTATTCAGAATTATCATGGGTACACATTCAGTGAGGTTTTTGCCTCATTTCTTAATTTCTTTACAAAGACAACACTATTTATCTTAAAATGAGTAGTTGGACCATTTGGCAAGTGACTTTAAATAAGTTCATTCAGTGTATTATGATCTTCATTAGTAACAATCAGGTTTGTGAAATCTCTTGCAATGGACTGTGGGATGATTTTTTCAGAGTCAGTCCTCTTCTGTCATAAACATGTGAATCTGGTCAAAGTGTTGAGAGCTGCTACAGAGTCGTACTGCTCCCCAATGAGGTCTACCTGACCATGCAATGAGAATCTCAGGAGATGTCTGTCTGTTGAAGTAAGAAGCAAACTCATCATAAGCCACCTCTTTGCCATGGGGGTCTACTGTGGTTTCATTGTAGACTCGTTGATTGTCAGTGGTCTTGGGGATAGGCTTTCATGGAGTCTTATCACCAAGAGCCTCTCTCTTTCTTTTTAATTTTTTTCTTACCTTCCAACTTTTTCTTCTGCTGCTGCTGCTGTTTCCACCTCAAGAACAGCAAGTGTCTCCGCTGTTATCCTGAAGCCCAGAGGGAAGGCGCTGCCTGCAGCCCCATTGCTCGCAAACACACCCTCTAGAGGCTCTTCAGCAGCGCTTTTCTTCTTCAAGCCTCACTTGCAGCCACTGCCACTCTTCTCCCTGGCATTTGCCCCGTTGCTTCTATTCATTTTATTTTATGTCTTTGAATATCTGGTCTGCAGAAATGTGCACCACACATGTACCTATTGGATTCCCTAAAGCTGGTGTTACAGACTGCTGTGAGCCACCAGGTGGGTGCTTGGAATTGAACCTGGGTCCTCTGCAAGAGCAACAAGTGCTCTTAACCATGAAACTGTCTCTGTAGCTCCCTCAGAGACTCTTCCCAGTGGACTAGATCATGTCGAGTTGATCACACGGGATTATGCCATCAGAACTAATGGCCTGAGTCCTGACCAGCGTCACCCTCCTGCTCATAGAAGCCTTTTAAGAAACAGCTTTTAAAATTACATTCACATAATTTTAAAATTTATTTTTATGTTTTGATTTTTCAAGACCAGGTCTCTGTGTAGCCGCTCACTGAGATGCCCTGTCTCTGCCTCCATGGTGCTAGGATTAAAGGTGTGTACCACCAGGCCTGCCTCCTGCTATTTTGTACTTTTTCTGGAGCTCTAGGACTGAGAATTGCCTCTAGAAGGGATAGAGGGAGGAGTCTCTTCTGGAGTTAAGTGGCATAGCTCCTCCATTCAACAGTGTATCCAATGGTGACATTTAAGGGGTCATGGCTGAGAGAAGGGCACTAGCAGAAACACAAGGACAGCCGGGCAGTGGTGGTGCACACCTTTAATCTCAGCACTTGGGAGGCAGAGGCAGGCGAATTTCTGAGTTCGAGGCCAGCCTGGTCTGCAGAGTGAGTTCCAGGACAGCCAGGGCTGCACAGAGAAACCCTGTCTCGAAAAACCAAAAAAAAACAAACAAACAAACAAGCAAACAAAAAACAAACAAACCACAAGGACAGTCAGGATCACATACCCATTCCTGGGCCCATAATGATGTCTGCTTTGGGCTCCTTAGGATGTGGCTATGAATTACTCCCTCATACCCTGCAGGCTCATGTGTGTGAACACTCAGTCCCTGGATGGTGTACCTGTTCTGGGGTTTCTCAAACTTTTAAGAAAGGAGGCATGCTTGGTGGAGGCAGGTCATCATAGCTGGCTTTTGAGGACCACATGATGCCACTTCTGGTCTGAGCTATTCGCCAAGCTTCCCAGATATGAAAGCCAGTACACTCAAGTGCTTGTTATCAAGGTTTAGGCCACTCCCACCACCATGCCTTTCCTGCCACCGTGAACTGAAAACCCCTCCCTCAAGGGTTTCTATCAGATGTCTCATCCTGGCAATGATACAGCTAGTACCCATGATGCAAAGCTAATCCTCACACAAGAGAAGGATTGCAGACCCCTCTTTTGTGTAGCTATTTGCTTCTGACTATAGTATTGCTTCATGGGGCTGGAGAGTAAGCTCAGCACTAAAAGGCACTTGTTGCTCTTACAGAGGACTCAGGACGATCCCCGAATCCACATGGTGATTCACAGCTATCTGTAACTCAAGTTCTATGGCATCTGCCCTCCCGACCTCCTTGGGCACACATGCATGTTACACACACATACATGCAGGCAAACACATAAATCTTTTTTTTTTTTTTAAATCTCTCCTTGGAGAGAGGAGGCTGGGTCATAAGAAATCAGAAAGTTCAGAAAATTACAAATTCATAAGGCCCCTCCCCCAGGCCATCCAATCAGTAAGTTGTTAAGAGAGAGGAGACTTCACTAGAGCTGCCTGTAGGTTGTAACATGGGGGCATGGGGTGGGAACTATCCAGGGATCAGCTAGATTCGGGTGGGATCATTTCTTCAGACTGCCTTTGGTGCCCTATCTGGCTTGAACAGACATCTGTTCACATCATCCCATAAAAAGTCACACAACACCTTCACCTGCATGCAGTGCTGAGGGTCAGGCTGGCCCAGGGCTAGGAACTGTCCGATCAGAAAATAAATTGTCCGATCATAAAACGTATGGGCAGGGATAGCTGATGGTACATGTTTGGCCACTGCCACATTTCTGATGTTCCTGTAACAAGGCTGTACCCGGCAGCCCAAAGAGACATTCAAAATAGGAGAGACTGCCCCAGCCATCAGACTAGGAGACCTGGGCTTAGTGAGGGAAGAATGACTTGGCTTCTCAGGCAGGAAATAACTAAGGGAACCTGAGTATTCTCCTAAGGAAAGTACTTGCTTTGTGTCTGACCTAACATGTTCGGTTGCTTGTGAGACTTAAAACTTGTGGTGGGTGTCTTTCTTCTCTGGAATGGGCTTGAAGTAGTACTGCTGGCCCCTCACCCCACCCCTACCCGAAAACAGGTCCGAGACATAGGTCAACAGAAAGCAAGATTAAATGTCAGGACCTGGAGCACACCTTCATGCTTCCTTCGTCTCTGCTCAGGATCAAGGTCAATGTCTGAGATGATGACAAGGCTAGGGTCCTAAAGGCCCCATGAGGAAGCCAGGCTACGGATGTAGCACCTGCATAGGTGCATGAATACTCCAGACATCTGTGCACAAGTGTGCACAAGCACATGCTCCTACGCACATATGCTCTCTGACAGTCTGTATTTTAAAAACACAATTACCCAAAGTGAGGGTCTGGTACTTCCTAACTCCCCCCACCTGCCCTCCAAGCAAAGTAAAGGCCAGATGTCTCCGAGACCCCTCAAATTATATTTTAAAAGGATTTATTGGCAGTGGGCCTATTTAGGACCTTGGAAGTTTCAAAGACAGGTGGGGACATGGAGAAATTGCATAGGCTATCTCTGAGGCTGGGGGACCAGCTGGGATTGGTGGCACTTGCGGCCCAAGGAGGGTTCAAGATCCAGAATGCACTCTGTAGAGTGAAGAGTGGAAAGTGCACAGAGAGGGGTTCAGGGTGCATGGTGTGGGGTACAGGGTGCAGAATGCATACTGTAGGTATGGTGGTTAAGATTACATTTAGAAATTTAGACTATGCTTGGGAAACCAAAGCAAAATATGCCTCTACGGTGAAAGGCCCTAACTTGTGTGGGCTGTACACTAGCAGTCTACTTCCTCTTTCTCCCAGATACTGAAGAGTATTCTGAAATTGATTGGCCTTGTAAAATTTGCTGTTCTAGCAATTTAGTTGTAAGACTAACTGCTATATCTTCTTTCGTAATTCACCTTGCTTCCTCTGCTCAAAGGATGACTAGGACAACTGCAAGACATATATGTTAAAATGTATGCTCCGGCCTACATGTAAGCAGGCTACATGCATTCTTGTGGGGTTTGCCTTTATAAACTCTAGGCTGATATGGCTAAGGCTTGCAGCTTGGAAGTGATCTCAGTCGCAGACCTGGCCTCAATCTGTCTGGGTGCCAGTATCTAAAATAAAAGGCCTCTTATTAAAATGTATTCAAGGTCACGCCTAATCTCTGAGCGACCCCAGACCCCTAACAGTAGGTAGGGTGAGCGGCCTACGGTGCAGAATGGGCGATAGAGCTCCGGGACAGAGATCGGCTCTCTAGAAAGGGAACTCGCAGACGAAGTAGAGGCGCCGCTCACAGTCATGGTCCCACCAGGAACCGTCGTCTGAGGCCTGGGCCACGCAGTTCTCCAGGACGCCGCCATTGGGCTGATCCGGGCTGAGTGGATGTGATGCCGCACTAGGCTGGGCACCGGACTCCAGGCTCAGTGCGCGGTGCCAGGCGAAGAACGACACGCGCTGGCCGTTCTCGAAAAGGTAGAGCCCCTCCGAGCGCCGGTCGTGCACTCCCAGCCACACCGGCCAGTTGTAGGGGGCGAGGGCAGCGCGTAAGTACCGGCTTAGCGCATCCATTTGCTGCCGGTCCGCAGGCTGCGCTAAGCTCCCACCTCGCACCTTGCACCGCGCCTGCGCCGCCGCCTGTGTCTCGAAGTCTCGCGAGAGCAGGAAGCACTTGTGGCCTAGGCGCAGGCCCTTCAGGCAGCCTGTGTGTAGGGTGAGGCGGAGTCAGAACGTTACGGGTAGGAGGGGGCGAGGCCAAATCTAGGCCTTTAGGTGATCAATGAGGTGGAACCAAGGTTGCAGGAGGCGGGAGAGGGCGGAGCCGGTAGGTAGAGGGAGGAGCCTGAGCCGTCGGGCGGTGCCTAGGGTAGAGGGCGGGTCCAGGTGAAGGAAGGTTATAAGAAGGATGGCCAATGAGATGGAGGCAGGCTTACTGGGGGCGAAGACAAAGAGCGGGAGGCCGGGAGACCAATGAAGCAGAGCCAGGACTGCAGGGGGCGTTGTTATAGCGTTGGGGGCTGAAAAGGGGCGGAGTCAAAGTTAGAAACCTGCGACCAGTGAAGCCAAGACAAGGGTGCTGGGGGCGTGGTTAAAACGACACAGGCCTTTGAGAGGTGGAAAACCATCAGGAGGAGCTAAACCGCTTAGGACAGAGAGGGCGTGGATAGTAGGAGGGATTAGAGCTTCAGTGACCAGTGAGGCCTGGCCAGGCTGTCAGGGGCAGGGCCAATGCTTTTGTGAGTTGAAAAGGGTGGGGCCAAGGGGAGCCTTGTTGGAGCAGTAGTGTCTTAATGAGGTGGAGCCAGGGCCTTCGGGGGCGTGGCCAGGGTGTGGGCGGTTCCAGACTATGGGTGGGGCTTTCCGGGTGTGGCACAGGTTGGAGCAAGGAATGTCTCACCCACCTCAAAATCCAGCTCTAGATATGCCATCACATGTCAGTTCTCTGTGGACCCTCTGGTAGCCTGATACCTGTGGTCTCCAGGTCTTCAGACCTCCCTGAGTCCCCTCCTCCCACCTAGGCCCTCTTGGTGCCACTGAGACTCACCCTCCAAGCGACCGTGCTCCTGCTCAGCAAGGACCTGTACCTCCTTCAGGGCTTGCACTGAGTCGCGGGTATCTCTCGCAGCATCCCGCAGCTGTCGCAGCCCCTGGGTCAGCTCAACCACACGGGTGTCCAAAACGTGCAGACGGATGTGCAATTGGTGTAGGCCTGCATCGAGGCTGGCCAAGCGGCCCACTGTGAAAAGACAGAATACACAAGTGGAGGCACAATCAAGGGTTCTGAGGATATGGGAGGGCACAGCCCTCAGACTCCCAAGAGTGGGATGGATGAGGCAGTCTGTGGGATGTGTGACCATGTCGATGAAGTTCAGTGGTTTGAGCTCTTGACAGGCAGGCACATCGGGGGGACCTTAGGTCTCCCCGATTGTCTGGCCTCCAGGTTGGGTGAGTGATTGACAGACAGGCCATCTTGGCTTCTGAATACTCACAGATGTAAGTGACAGTGTCCTCTGATGTGGGAGAAGGGCTGGGGAAAGGGTTAAGACTAGAAGTAGGTGCTGTGGTGGCTTCCTCTCCCTCTTCTTCCTCTTGAGTCTCCGTGGTTTTCCAGACCTCTTTGCCTTCAGGGTTTTCAGCAAGATTATCCTTATTTCCCACCCCAGTGGGCAGCCCTCGGGCCTCCTGGAGATTCTGAGGCAGAAAATGCATGTCAGTCTCCTTCCTTCTCACCTACCCTCTCAGCTCTTTTCTAAACCCATTGTTCCATCTAAGCCCCATTACTTTTCTTTGCCCATCTGAACCCTTCATCCCAAGCCCACAGTGCCCCTCCAACACTCACCTTCAACATCAGTGACTCCCGCTCTCGCTCCTCCTCCAGGGCACCTCCCCAGCCCCCCTCCCACTCCCTCCCAGGACCTCGGGCTCCATGGCCAAAACTCAAAAGTTGAGGGACCACTACGGCCCCCAAGAGCCAGGCTGCCTGCATCCAGCTGGACTTCCCAGCACCCAAACTAGTAGAGATCAGAATGCCTGAGGTAGGACTGGGGTATAGAACTATCGAGTGTCCCAGTCTGGTGGGCAGATCACTAGCCCCTTGGACCTTCTCTCTACCAGGCTTTCTATTCTGCCTCCCCTCCTGATCTGCTCTGTCTCAACTTTTGGTCTCCTCAGCTTCTCTTGGTTTGTCTGCCCGCCCCTCTTGGCTTCCAGGAGGCTCTGCCTCTGTGGCCGGAAACCTCCAACGTTCCAAAGCCTGATCCCGCCTTGTGTCTCCCCACACCCACCCCTTTCCACTTTCCAGACCTCTGCTTCTGTCCTCTTTCCTCGTTTTTTGCAAGTACAAGCACTTAGATGGATAAAAAGAAGGTGGAGAAAGTTCTCCAGGGCATCCTTGGTGGGCCTCAGCCTTGGTCCAGGAACCTTTTCAGAACAAAGCAGGCTATGATAGGATGCCAGCTTTTGACTCTGTTTGCTTCTCTCTGTCCCTGCCATTCCTGAGGAGGGGGCATACTGCAGAGTATGCTAAAGTTGTAATTATCCTGTGGTCATCACTGACCACAGCCTAATGAAGGGGACTCCTCTACCATTCTCCGGCTCCAGGGCTCTCCCAACCCCCACCCAGATGGCCTATCCTGGCCCTACCAGCCTTTGTGTGTGCCTGCTTGTGGGGGTATGTGTGAACAGCATGCATGTGTGCGGCTTGAAAGGTGTAACTCCAAGATTCTCCTGCAGGCTAGGCCCCCTGAGCAGGCTGATGCTGGGGTGGGAGGGGGTGGGAGCGGGCCCAGTGGTTCCCCCATCAAGGGAAGAGAAGGGGTTAACAGAGCAAGTATCTTCAGGATGTATACTAGCCAAGCACTGGGCTGTGAGCAGAGAACCTTCTGCAAGCTGCCTCATCTCAGTCTGGACCACTGCAGTGGCCTCTCCTTGCTCTCCTTCCTTCAACAGAGCCCCTCCAATCTGGGCTGCTTGCCTGCCGCAGCCAGAGCAATCCTTCCAAACCATAAATCAGATCACATTACTCCCCACGCCCCTGCCTCCTCACCTTCCCATCAGAAGCAGGAGAGAAGCCAAACCCCCCTCCCCCGGCCTCGGTCCTCAGTGCAGCCTGCAGGGCTGGGGCCTGGGAGAGAATGTTTTCTGCAGTCTCACCTCATCTCCCCACACCTTCCATCTCCACCGTATCCTTCCTAGCTTTTCCTTCTTCTGAAGACTCTTCCTTTCCTCAGATCTTTCTAATTACTGAAGCCTCAGCTCTGACCACCACATGAAATGCTTTCCCAAAATGCCCCCTTTCCTTCTAGGTATGATCCAACCAGTATGGCCTTGTTCATCTACATCTGGCTACTTCTGCATCCCCAAATCAGAACAGGGCTTCCTAGTACCTAGTAGGTGCTCAGTTAAGTTGATGAGTAAGACCAATGTCATAGCAGCTCGGTAAAAGGCCTTAAAGTCAGATTTTTGTCTTTAGGCTGCACCGGAGTTCTCAAGGTGCTGAGGGCAGTGGAGGGTTCCAACGCCAGGGACGTAGAAGGCCAGGCCTTACCCACACCATGCGGGGCTCACGAGTCCTGCAGAGCTTGTCCAGCAGGTCCTGCCAATTCATGAACCACAGATCTAGGGGCCAGGCTCTTCGAGGAAAAAGCAAAGAAGCTCAGACAGAAGATGTGGCAGCCCTGTGGAGGTCATGGGTGTGGCATCATGTAGCCAGGTCGCTGGCTCCAAGCAGGTACCTCATGTCTGCCCTCTGTAGGGAGAGCCCCATGAGGGGCCTTGTAAAGAAACACACCAGTTTTCAAGAAAGCCTAGCACGCAGAGGGCAGAGTGACCTTGGGCAGCCAACTGGCTTCCTCGGAGCCTCTCAGATGCTCATATGTAGCACAGAGGTTTCTCATCAGAAGCTGGAGACCTCCATATAATGCAGAAGAGCCGTGTAAACTGTAGAATGCTTCATAGCCACTCAGTGTTTGTGCCAACACCAGCAGCTGTTCTCCATGGATGCAGCTGCTCAGCACCTGGGTGGGTGCATCAAGATGAGGGCCTCTCTGAGCTGGGTACCAACTCGAGCTTATCCCAGGATGCCTCAGAAAGCCTGCAGCTGGAGACGAACCCAAAAGCTACCTAGAACTACCCTCTGTAGGAGCTGGTATTCCCTAGTGGCCCTGGGGATGCTGCTGGGCAAAGTGGAACTCATGGCTGACAAGGACTGAAAGGTGCTGAATGAACCTGCCTTCCTCTGTGAATGTACCAGGTAGGAGAGGGCTAACTACCTGCACATAATTAGTTTTGTGTGCCCATGAGTGTGAAATTGGGGGGCGATATAGCATGAGGTATACATCTTCAGGTATGTTCTCTGAAACACCATAGCAGGCCTGTGGAGAAGATGGAGACAGGCTCTGTGTTCTTCACCCTTGATGCCACCTCTTTATAGCTGGGTGACCTGGGTGAAATTACTTAGCCTTTCTGTGTGCTTTGACAGGAAAGAAGTCCCTGAACCTGGCACCTAGCACATACTCAAGGATAGCTGGGGGAGGGGTGCTGTGGGCAGGCTCTACAGTCAAATAGGCGTACACACCTCTGATAGATAGTGGAGAGGGTGAGCTTGCTCGGACAGCACACATGTCTGTCTATCCTTGCTTATGGTGGGCAGATCTATGCATGCAATTGGAGTATGGTGTAGGTAGATCTTGCCGGGTGCTGTCGATATGCTGTGGCACAGGGGGGTGACACTGTGCATGAAGCTGGGTGTGTTTCTCTGGTCATGTGTACTGGGCAAGCATGCCTTAAGGAGTAGGCAACCGTGGGTGTGCTTGGTTTACAGGACCAGCTTGGAGGAATGGGTATGTGCTTCAGGTACTTCCATGTACGTGGACTTATATGGAAAGTTGGGCGGGCGCCCCCTTCTGTGTGTACGGGGGCAAAGGTACACACATTCGGGGGTACAGACCGGAATCTGTAACCTACAGTATTCAATTTGGGAATATGCAGACTCTACAAATACAGAAATACATGTGTAGAAAGGGTGGGGAGCGATCTGGAGGAGGGGTTCCCCTAGGAAGAGCAGGATCCCATTTGTATACATGGGGGCAAGCAGGGGTGGAGCCTGGGTTTGGGGATGGGGCAGTGGAGATGAAGGGTGAAGGAGGGAGAGGGGAGGGGGTGGAGCCGCGTTTGGGGGGAGAATGGGCGAGGTTTGGGGGCTCAGGGAGGGGCGATATCTCTCTGCGGGCTCCCGGAGGGAGGGGAGAGGGCGGAGGGAGGGGAGGGAGGGAGGGAGAGAGAGGAGAGAGAGGAGAGAGAGGGAGAGAGAGAGAGAGGGAGAGACAGCGAGTGCGAGAGAGCGAGCCGGGTGGCAGTGGAGGCGCTGAGCAGGAGCAGGCGGCGGCGCGGCGGCCCCTGGCAGAGGAGGAGGCAGAGCCGGAGGGAGCCGCAGCGCCCGTAGCCCGGCCAGACCCCAGCCCCGGGGCGGACAAGGAGGGGCTCGCGGGCGCCGCAGAAAGGGGGGCGCGCTGCGGATGGCCGGGCCCGGCCCGCGGGGGGGGTGAGGTCCGCGGCCCCCCCGCCCTCCCCCCGGCCCTCGCCCGCCCCCTCCCCGGCCCGCTCGCCCTCCGGGGCGGTGGGGCATGGCCTGAGGGTCCCCCATATTCGGGGGGGGGGGGGGGGGGGGGGGGGGGGGAGGGGCCGCGGGCGCCGCCGACCGGGACTCAGCAGCCCCGCCAGGCAGGTAAGGGCACGGGCACTACAGGGAGGTTCTGGGGTAGGGTGCAACTGCGAGAACTGGGGTTGCGGGAGAGGGCGGAGGCGCCCCGGATGTCCTTGGCCTGGCGCCGGCTCTGGCCTGGGTGTACATTTAGGGTGTGTGAATGGGGGGTGAGTGTGTGGAAGGTAGCGTGGCCACTACGGGTGACATCAAATTGGGTTGCAACCCGGTCCCGAGTGCCCGTCCCAGATCGTATCCTTGCTAGGAGGGTGTGCCCCATCCCCCACGTGCTGCGCCCCCTTAGCCGTACTGGTCTCCCAGGCTCTCCGGGGCCACGACTGGGTCCTGGTCCCCGCCTCCCAACCCGGCTCGGCCACTCCCCCGCCTCGCCCACCCCAGCACACCTGGGCCCCTCCCCTAGGTCACCCTGGTCCCCAACCACTCCAACCCAGGGTCTGAACCAGAGCCTCCTCTGACGCCTGGACCCGGCGCCCCTTCCCGGCGTCTGTAGTTCCTTCCCACCTGCGTCTTGCGTGCCCACCGCGCCTCAGGTTTCTTCTCCGCAGGCCGGCGCGCCCCCTCCCAGCTCCCTCTCCCGACCCGGGGCTATTCTTTCACCAACCTCCCTGCTCCCGCCTTCCTCCACCTCCATTCATTCTTCCAGGGCCCGGCTCCTGGCCACGCCAGCCGTCCCCTGTCCCCCCACAGCCTCTCAAGGCACCCCCTCTCTCCCCTTCGCCACCCCCCCCTCGCCGATTCCTCAGCCCGTCTCGGTACCAGCTGCGTGCCAGCTATTCTTAGCCGCCGAGCTTTTGATTCATGCCGCCCCGGCGGAGTGTGCCCGCTCCCTCCCTCGAGGCCGGAGGGGGAGGGGCCCCGAGCTGTCCTGGGTGTTGGGGCAGTGGAACCCGCTCTATGGGAGACTCGGCCTTTGCTGACCTTTTATCCCACCTGCCACCCCATTCCTGCAGAGCTGGGGCATGAGGGGATGTCAGCCAGGGTCAGCCGAGGGGGAGTGGCTAAGGTCACACTGCCAGGCGGGATGTGGTGTAAGGCGGTCAACAAACTGAGCTGGAGGCCCGGGTCTCCTCCTGAGCCCAGCGGGTTGAACCACAAGGCAGGGTACCTGGGATGGGGTGCTTCAGAGCTCAGTCCCCGCGAGGGGGAGGGTTCCTCAGCCCGCGGTTAGACGCCTGCTCGCCTACAGTTCTTGGAACTCTCTTCCTTAAACATTTCGTCTTTCCTTCCCCAACCCTCCCTCCCCCCAGCCCATCCCCACTCCCCCAAAGTCAGCAGTACCCTCCACTGCTTCCCATCTCCATGGCAACGGTGCAGGAGCCGGGCCTGGTGTGGGGTGGGAGGGACCAGACCAGACATTCTGCTTTCCGGTTCTAGAGTGGGGAGTAGGGGGTGGCAAACAGGAGAGAAGAGGACTGCATTTGGAAAGGAGCCGCCCCTCAGTAGGCCACTTTGAGAGGG